CCGGGGGGGGGGGCATTTTCCGGGGGGGGCCCGAAACTCCCCGGGGGGGGGGGAAAAAAGGGAAAAAAAACCGGGGGGGGGGGGCCTTTTTTTGTTTTCCCCCCCCCCCCGGGGCCAGGGGGGGCATGGGGTGGAGCCCCCCCCCGGCCGCCCCTCCCCATTTGCAAAACCAAAACCCCAAAAAAAATTTTCCCCTTTTTTGAAAACCCAAAAAAAAAAAAAAAAAAGGCCCTTTTTTTTTTTTTTTTTTTTTTCCCCCACCACCCGAAAAAAAAAGCCCCGCGAAAATCCCCCCAAACCCCCGAAAAAACCCCCCCCAAACACAAAACCAAAACCCAACACAGGCCCCCCCCCCCCCCCCCGCCTTCTCGCGGGCCTCATTTGTGAGGGGGTTCACAAACCTTCTCCTCCTCCTCCTCCGGAACTACAAAAAAAACGTAAACATCATCCTCTGTCCGCGCTCAAAACGCGCAGCGACAGACAAACGACGGTATCATCATTCACCGACATTTTTGTCGCGTCTACTGGGAAAAACGAAACGGACCCCCGTGTAGACAAGAGGCCCGTCCCCGCCTCTCGTCCAACTCCCATTTGCACACATTTTCCTCTCTTTTTTTCCCTCCCATCTCCCCTCTCGCTAGCACGCTTATACATTTGGCACTCTACGCTGCTAACCCCCCGCCCGGCCTCCGCGAAAAGCAAGATAGTAACCGCGTACCGGCAGCGGCCGCTGATCGGGGGCCTAGACAAACAACGGAAGGGACAAAAAGAAAAAACACACATTTCTTCCCCGAATTATTCATTATTCATTATTCATTATTCGTTCAGTTCTACTACTCACTCGAAGCCAGTCATGCCACATTCGAAAAAGAAGGACCGCCCCTTCTTCGTTACTCACTCAACACGCGATTCTTAAGCGACCGGCGTGCGGTTCTCAAACCTAAACACGCAGCGCTCGCTCTCCACCAAGGGAGTGCTCTCTCTCGAGAGCAACCCCCCCCCCCCCCTACCGAAACAAAAAAAAATCTTCCTTGTGTGTGTCTGTTCAGGGGGGTGACCGACCGCCCAAAACCAACCACACGCCCAGCCAGGGTAAAAAGCAACCAAGCCAAGCCGGGGCACCGTCGACATGAGAAAACCAAACCACGCATGTTTATAACGTATGTTATCTAGATACAAAAACGAGAATGGGTGCCGACCTAAAAATAGCTGCGCCGTGTCGCAGGCCAAGATGCAGGAAGAGACAGAACCAGCGCCAGCAAGAGCAAGCGGCTTTTCGTCGGCTCACGTGAGCCCTCGAGACACTTATAACGTCCCAAGGTTGTTTTAAGCTCCTTCTCTGCTTGAGGCCCTGTCTCGATTCGCCGGAACAGATGGCTCCCGCGTCCTCCTCCTGCCATACACCCAACCCATCCCCCACCCGATAATAAATACATGGGAGCACCGCGATGCGGAGCACTCCCCCCCGTGGGTATATACCCCTCCTGCGACGGTGCATGGAGAGGAGACCCCCCACCCCCCCGCCCCGTCCTGCGGGCCTCCCCACCCATACAGCAGGTACTTCAACCGCGTTCGTAGTGGTGGTGAGATTCCCCCCCAGCAAAATACTATTTTCCCGCTATATCGGCTTGACCAGAACATTGTTTTTCGCGGTATTTAACCTTGGGCCATTTTTTGCCGTTGTCAAACCTCAGCTAGGCATCTATGCCATCCTCTTCCGAAGCCTCGCTCTCCGACGTTCCCCCGCGGGTCTCCTCCACAAAAGCAACACATAAAAGACAGCCAGAAAGGGAAGAAAGAAAAGAAACCAGCTAATTCCAAGTTTTCATGTTCGTTCACCACACTCGAGTTTTTTTTATGTTCTTCTTCTTCTTCTCCCTCCCAATCGCGTAAAAGGCGTCCTGACGTTCTCCACCCCGCACGTTATCCTTGCCCCCAGCAGATTCAAACAACCGCCTCCCGTCGGCGCGGACCACCTCTAATATTTGGTGTGTTTTTTTTACGTCATCGCCGGAGGGTGGAGAGGAGAGCTGCTGAACCCGCCGCCGCCGCTGCCGCCGTTGCCGTGCTGAAACGGGTGCCAGAACCCTCCACCGTCGCCGTCGCCGGAGTCCATGCTGACGGCCGCGACTGCCGCCGCCCCTCCTGCCGCCGACGTCCCGCCGCGGCTCCCGAAAACCAGCGGGTCCGGCAGGCTCGAGCAGCTCGCTTCCGCCAGGAGGTACTCTGGAGAGGTCACGGCGTGGGAGGCGCTTCCGCCGCTGCCGCTGCCGGCGGCGGAGGCGATCGCCGCCCCGCGCTCGAAGTTCGGGAAGGCGAGGTTGCCGGGCGAAGGGCTGCGGCCGCTGCTGCTGGTGCGAGAACAACAAGAAGACGCGCCCGCCGCCACCGATTGCGCCGCTGCCGCCGGAGCCTCCGCTGTGAGCAGAGTGCAGTCGCTAACCGAGCTCCCGGGCCACAGGGTAAGGCTCCTCCCCGCTACCGTCGCCGTCGCCGTTACCGCGGCGGCACCGCCGCCGCCGCCGCCGTTGGTGTCGACGCCGACGGAGGAAGTTCGGAGCGGGTTCCACATGAGGGCGTCGTGCGCGTCCCCCAGGAGCTCCGTGCTTTGCGCCGGAGGGAACACGGCTCGGTGCTGGGGACGGCAAGCAAGCAAGCAAGGACGGAGGGAAGGAGGGAGGGAGGGAGGTTCAAGGTCAATACTCGTTGAGATGGTGTTCTGTTCTGGGGTACATTCGTGTGCACGGGGGAAAGATTCGGCACGAGGTTCTAGGAAAATATACATGCAGTCACAGGAAGATACCTTGTTCGAGACACTATTCCACCACAGGAGCAGTGGAAGCGAGTTTGTCGCAACAGAATCAAGCGGGACGATGACTGGGCCCGGTCGCTGTGCAGGGTTAGCCGGCCAGCGCCGGGCACCCCGGGAACCGAACAAACAGGCACAACGCCAGGAACTAAAGAAAAAAGACGGCCTTGACCAAGACCTACTCATGTAACCAGGACTACAACAGCTGCGCAACACCCGAACAAAAAATATCGAAATTTTCTCGATCCAGGATGTGACAAAATATGTGGCTGTCTTCATTTCAGCATCAATCGAACGGAAAGAATCCATGTGGTCAGTTTGCAGCCAGCCACCACCACGCCGCCGCTGAGGTTCCCTCTCCTACCTGCTCCATCGTCATTCCATCTCGCGACACCAGGGGAAACACCGTCGGTGCGCCTCCGCCGCCACCGCCGCCGCCGGCGGCGGCCGTGGGGTTCACTACCGCCGCTTCGCTGCCGCCGCCGCTCTCCAACCACGTCATCTCTACGCCCGCGAATGGGTCTCTGTCTTGGCAATCCGCGGACAAGTCTAGGTCAATCTCGCCGCCGCCGCCGCCGCTTTCGTGTCTTCGCACGGGAAGGGCAAGCTCCGCCTCCTCCTCCTCCTCCTCTTGGTTGTTCTCCAGCAACAGGCCCGTCAGAGAAGTTGCCGCTCCCGCGAGGTACAGCTGGTTCTGCTGGTTCTGCCGCCGCTGCAGCTGCTGCTGCTGGTGTTGCCGCACTTCGTGCTGCTGCAAAAAGGCCGCCGCGGGCGACACAACCACTCCGCTGTGCGGGAGCCACTCGGGGTCGTCCTCGAGCGAGGACGGGGGGTTCGACGAAGGCGAAGCCGGGGGGGGGGCTATGAACAACAGGGGCCCGGCGGGCGTCGCCGTCGGCGCCAGCTCCGGCGACTCCGGCACCAGCACGTGCGAAGGGGCCGGCGACGCCACGAGGTCCTCAGCCACACGCTGCCGCTCGGGCAGGCTCAGCCGGGGAAGGATGCCGTGAGGGCCGGTGACCGCGGCGGCGGCGGCCGGCGCGGTCGCCGCGATCTCTGCCGCCGCCGCCGCCGCCAACCGGGCCGCCGCCGCCGCGCCCTTCTTGCGCTTCGGGGGTACCACCCCTGGCGGCAGCGGGACCTTGCGCTTGTGGCTGCGCTTGGGTGCTTGTTCCCCGCTGGCGGAAACCGCGCCCGTCTTTTTCGTCGCCACCGCAGTCGCCGCCATCGCGCCGGAAGCCACTCGCTGGTTCGTGTCCCCGCCGCCGTTAAAGGCGGCCAGAGGCCGTCTCGCCGAGGCTGCTCCTCCTACCGCTCCCTCGCCCCCCGCCGGCGCCCCCTCTTGCGGGCCGGCGGCGGCGGACACCACCCTGCTCTCCAGGAGGCGTTGCGAGGGCCGGTGCCGTCGGCGCGGGAGGACCGGGGCGTCATCGTTCTCCTTCGGCTCGCGGTGCTGCGCCCGCATCCTGGACACCGGGTTGAAGACGTGGTGGCACAGGCGGCACTGCTTCACCGCCGACTTGGTCAGGGCCTTGCAGCTGGGGCAGAGCTTCCGGCCGCGGCCCAGCCGCACGGGTACTGCCGCCGCCGCCGGTGGCCCTGATGATGACACGGGGCCCCCGCCGCCCTCCGCCCCCGCCGAAGCGGGCAAACCGGGCGCCGGCGGCGATGGCACTGCTTCCGCCGCCGCCACCGCTGCTGCTGCTGTCTCCGGCTTGGACGCTTCGACCACCGCCGCCACCACCTCCTGGGCTTCGGCCGGAAGGCGGGTCGGGGCGACGTGAGTCGGCGAAGACGGAGGGGACATCGGGATCGCGGCCCCGCTACCGGCGGCGGCGGCGGCCTCCCGCATCTCCTCCTCGGCGGAGGCGGCGGGGTCATCGGCTACTAATACCATCGCATGTTGCTTGCTGCTATGTCTTTGCTGCTGCTGTTGATCGTCCTGGGAGTCGGGCTCCACGCTGTTCGCCGCGCACCACGCCTGGGGTCTCACCATCCCCGCCACATCCGCCGCCTGCTGCTGCTGCTGCTGACGCTGCTGCTGCTCGTGCGGCTGGTGCTGGTCATGGGGGACTGACATCGCCTCCTTCTCTCGTCGGTAGGGCTCTGAATTAGGCTGCAGATTTAAACGGCGGTGCGGGCGGAGGAGGGAGGAATGCATGGCGAGGGAGAGGTTGCAGATCTTGTTAGGAGGGTAAATTAACACTGCAGGGCAAAAAAACCGATTTGCACGTCACCACCCGTGGACTCGACATGCTTCTCAGGCACGAACGGCTTCACGGATACAAAGCGGAGGCACACTCCTTGCCCTACTGCGGTCCGTGCATGCTAACAACAAATAAATAGTTCAACGTGGGCAATACGCGGTACTAAATATTACCTCTATACATTTATAGACGCCATCACCAGCAAAGGGAAAGCACGCGACGGCCTCCCCACCGCCTACATACAAGTACAAATGGTATCGTAACACGTGCGTACCTTGTGCTCAACAGCCGCCCTGAGGGCGTGGATGGAGTCGCTACTAGGCGAAGACGAATTCGTTCGGCTCTGCGCTGTCCTGCACGGTGGAAGAGCGACGGCGGCGGGTGGGGGCATCATCGGACAAATTTAGATCAGCACACATAGGGCAGCGGCAGCTCGGGGCGGGGCGGGTGTGCGACGCAAGAACACCGGTGAGGGGTTACGCCCGCTGCTGCTGTTTTGACAATAAATTCGGCACCAGGGAAATTTACAAATTTTACTTTGCAGCTTACGAACGGCTGCCCCTGAAGCTGCTGTAGTCTAGGCCTACAGCCCTCAAGAGGCGGTTGTCTACCTGGCAAAAGTTAAGCTTCAAACCGACAAAAGCAGAGCCGCCGCAACGATAACGATAGAAACACGGACCATGAATTGCCAAGGCGCCTCCCTCTTCTCTGGGGGTCATGGTACCAGGTACCACACTTCATTGCGACTGTTGTATGCATAGAAAACACCAGATCAACAGCAAGTACTCGGAGATGACATCAATATCAATATGTGACACAGGCCGGCCAGCTGCTGTTTGAACGTTTGAACGTAATTTACCACAGAAAAGACACGAGAGACGGGGAAACAAAAAGACTCCGCCCGACCGCGCCTTGATATTCGAGACCTCCCCACGAAAAGTCTCTGTTTTTCTTTGCGATCTCTAACACGGCTGTAGCCGAGGGGGCCTCACATTCTCTGACGCCGGCGAGCCCCTCTCTCTTTTTGTGCGTTTGCTTTCCCTTTTTCCGGCCTTGTCTCGCCTGCTAACGCCCGCCTCCTGCTGCTCCTTGTTTTCCCGAGCAGACGTGCGAGGTGCTACTATTGTAGGAGGTTTTTCCCTGTGGTAGGTCACAGCGACCAAACAGGAGCGAGGCGCGGAGGAGAAGACGAGAACTCGGTGGTTAGCTTCTGATTGCAAGGTCACCCAATTTCTGCTCTTCGTCTACACAGACGAGGCAACACCGCCGGCTCTCTGTCGCAGGGGCAGGCACAAAAAAAAAGCGGGTCACACACAAGGGCACGAGGGCAGGCATTTTTTTCGGAAGAAACTCAAATCATGACCCGATCTCAAAATAAAACGAAATACCCGTGCGCGACCGAAATCATCCCGACCAAACGGAATCGAGCAGACCAAAACGTGCTCTACCCGAATCCGTGACCTACAGACACGCCCTGAGGTGCGCTTCTTCGCTATCCAACGTGCCAAAGAGAGACCAAAAGCGGACTCTCTCGGGATGCCTTCAACAGGAAACCAACCCCGAAAATGACACAATCACGCTGCTTTGCAGTCAACAACCCGCCGTTGTCCCGTACCAAATCGTCAACTGTCTTCGCACCCGCTACCAAACGACGCGCACAAGGGGGAGAGGGTGCAGTGGGGCAGGGTTTCCTGCGGTGAGTCTCCCGACTCCGGCAGGGGAGACCGCGGTATCCGCGCTGCCCGATCTGTTTTTCGGGGCAGGGGTGCAGAGAAAAACCCAAAGAAAAACAAAAGCAGACAAAAGTCGAAAAGCTCCCGCGGACTCTCCAACTCCGCATGCAAGATCGCCGCGGCGTAGACGCCCGTGGGGTCCTTACCTGGTCCGTGTGCTGGGCTTCGTGCGTAGCTCCCTCTTTGTTTCGTGTATTGTTTGTGTTTTTGGGAAGGCTGGTCCAAGTTTTGTGCGGGGGCTCTCGCCTGCTCCTGTCGCTCGTTTGTGTTGCCTCGTTCCCTCTTTTGTTCTAGAAGAGAACGAAGACCGTTCCCGACCAATCAGCGTTCGACAGGTCGTGGCTCAGTGGCTCAGTTCCGTGTGATCGGAGATCGGAGATGGGGAGAACAAAACACGCCTCGGCGGCGGCCGGGGATCGGGGACACAGAGCCACGGGATGAGAGCGGGTTGAGAGCGGGTGGAGAGGGAGCCAGAAGGCCCGCAGGCCGAGAACACGGATGCACGTCAGGCGAAGGCCCGTACTTGGGCTGGACCAGAGTATTGTACGTGTACATAATACAGCAGCATAGTGCAGCCCGATGGGCCATTGTGGGGCGGGTGGACTCTCTTGACCTGAACATGTACAGCAGCAGTCTAGACTACGCTGTTGCTGTAAAAATGCCGCCGGGGGCTGGCACTGCTGGAGCGCGGGTGAATGAATCGGCCTCTGGGCACGTAGTATATACCCGCCCGAAAGATGGCCCACTACAGCACAGCAGCCCTGTGGAGTGTGGAGAGGTGCAGATGCAGTTGGGTGCGTTTGAAGGATTGATCAAAATCCCTCCCGCCCTGAACGAAAAGAACCCCCAGTTTGGGTTCACACTACTGCCGTACAACACAGCTTTTTACCCATTCTGGCAAACCATGGTTTTCGCGGTACCACGCCGACGTCTTACGCCGGAAGGGCCAATACATTACATACAACAACATACAGTACGTACACGACGCCTCCGGAGTGTCAACGGCGCTCAAAATGGCATTCGGCGGCAGGCTCTGATTGTAGACCGTAGATCAGGCGGCGATAGAGTTTTGTTTGAGGTGACAAGACTGTATGCGCGTATTTTGCAAGGAGCGAACACCCCATCACACACGGAGCCGAGGCTACTCCATAGTTGATTGAATGGCTGGAATATGGATTGTTGTCTCCACAGCGGAGACGGGGGAGTGGAGTTGGATAAGTTGTTTGTTTTCTCATTTGACCGTGTTGGCTGGAGAGTATAACCTTTTTTTGTCAACACGGAATACGAACACCAGTCGACAAATGCTTATAAACTAGTACTACCGCGGTGTTCCACTTGTCACACTGCAGCAATCCCTCTGCAACGCTCCCTCGCTACTCACACTGCTGAACACGCCACACAGCACCCGGGTGACAGCTACTGTATTGCTGCATGAACGCCCTGCCCCACCTCTCAAAAAAGAGAAAACAAACAACGTGGCGAACCGGCGTCCACCCTGTTCCACGGGCAGAAACCTACACATCCAAAAAAGCCTGGGTCGCTAGGGTTAGGGTTTTCTCTTCTTCTTTTTCGCAGCCTTGCCCTTGGTTTTGTTATCTTTCGCCTTCTCTTTTCCGTCATCACCAGACTCCTCCCCTACTTCCATCGCCACCGGTGTTGAAGCTGAAACCCTCCCGCTGTGGCAGGGACCGGTGCCGGTACCGGCGGCGGTACCGCCCGCTGCCGTTGTGGACGCCGCCTTGGTGGCCTCGTTCGCGACTCGTTCGGGTAAGGTTACGACTCGCTGCTCCTCGCCGAGGGACAGGAGCGTGTCGCACATGCGCCGTAACTGTCCGAGCGTGAGCTGGTTGTAGTTCACCTTGATATCTCGAGTCATGGCCTTTTCAGAATCAAAAGGGAGAGACGGGCACAGACAAAAATGAGAGCGAGTGGTCAGACGGGAGGGCAAAAAAGGAGAGCGAAATAGGAAAAGATGTGGAGATGGCCTCGAGAAGGGTTGGTACAGCTCCCCAACGCCGGTCGAGGGCGATTATCGTCATTCACAATGGCGTCGCGGTGAGATGTCTGATAGTGCTACGGTGGTCAACGATCCAAATTCAAATCCCTGCTCCCACCGGAAAGATAGTGTGGGGGGGTGTACTCATAGTCGTGCATGCCGTAGTCGTTAGACCATTGACCTCGCATCCCTACAAAGCCGGGACGGGGCACGCCGGGTTCTCACCGGACCAGGCTCTCACATCACCAAGCGCGAAGCGCCGTGAGGTGTTCGGCGAGTCGCATGAAGGGTGCGCTGCATCCTGCAAAGCGTGTTCGGCATCTTGTGCTCACGTCCTTGCATACGGATGACAGCTGCGTATGACTTAATTTATTTTCTGGTGATTTCACTTCCAGAGACAGTTAACACTGCTGTATACTGCCTCGAGGGTGCTTGACCATTTCAACACAACCTGGTGCGATCATCCCCCGTTGCGCGGAGTGAGGGTTCTTGACCCCGCACAACATAATTTACTCGACCACCATTATGGTTACCGCAAAAAAAACACACAGAGGTAAGAAAAAAAACGGTAACCTGGTTGCCGAGTTCACGAAGTGAATTGGCTTGTTTTACAACGTCGTTGCCAAGCGACGAAAACCCAACCCCGATGGCAAACACCGGGGGGGGCGAAGATAGTGGGGGGGGGCACAAAAGCGATCTCGGTGCGGTTGTGGAAAAACTCTCTGGCGAAGTAGGGGGCGTAGTGTACCAGCTAAAACACGCACAGAAGAATGTGAAGCAACGAATCCACTCGCCGCCAGCCGCTCGGTTGCCATAGAAGCCTCTCGCCACACACGCATTGGAGGGGCAAATAAAAAATAAAAAAGGGGGAGGTAGTGACACCATCAAAACGGGGTGCATCTCCGAATGTCTGTCTGTCAAGGACGATTCTCTCTTTTTCACAGAGAGAGATAACGATGTAGAGAGACAACAGTGTAGATACCACGGAGGACTTGATCAAGGACAATGGGGGGAAAGGGAAACCACAAGGGAGGGGGCAGAAGTGGAAAACGAGACGCCACACGACAACATCACGCGGCGGAAAAAAAAAATGGGAGATCCCTCCTCCCCTCGCACGGCAAGGCGCTCCCCCTGTTCCACAACACCGCACAACGTCTACACAACATACGCATACGGTTACTGCTGTTGCCGCTGCATGCCCCCGGGAGACAAGGAGCTGGACACAATCCTTGCTGGTGTAAGCGAGGTGGGGCCTAACCCTATTACTGATCCAAGAGCTAAATCACACACAGACCTCGTGATCGAGACCGTGCTTCGTGAGGAGCTTGGCCATGTACCGCTGGTCCTCGTCCGACATCGGCCGCCGCCCGTAGTTCCGGTCGATCACCTTCAGGTCTGCGGTGTCCGCGACGTCTGCACCGCGCCCCGGTGAGGCGTGAAGCAAGCGGTAAGGCGAGGACGCAAGTTCCCGCACCAGAAGAAAAACGTGTGGGGGGACGGGGGTTGGGGTTCCGGAGGCCAGGGTTACCCATTGTGGTTGCTTTCATCGGACCATTGATCACGTTAGCGTACGCCAAAGAAAACGTGTACACTCCTCATAATATATATACTCCACACAAGAGACATCACCCGATATTAGGGCGTTCTTGACCCCCCTTGCACCATATTCTACGTATTGGGGGTATTTTCAGTCAGTCTCAAAAGCGAAGCTGCGTGTATGGTAGCAGAGCCGGGGAAGGTCGAGAGAGGGTTTTCGTTCACCTTAGCCTTGGATCGAGCAAGGGGGGGACGAGAACACAACACAAAAACCCACCGTGCAAGCACTTCGAACGAAAAAACAACAACAAAAAACGGGAGTCAATATGCAAACGCGCGGTAAAAACATGACACGTCGCCGGCAAAGGTGGTGGGGGCAATACGTGAAAACCTGCTAGTATTCATCTCAAGGCATTTTCGGTTGCTGGGAGTGGGCGTAGCCGCTACCAACAAGAAGCTACTCCGGAGGTGAGGTGTTTATCGGGAAGTCTGGATGCTAAGACAGCAAGCAATAGTCGGAAAAACCGAACACGATAAAGAATTAGCTTCTCGCAAGGCGTGGCGTGTGGAGAGCTTTACAGAAGTAGGTACAACTACAACAGGTAGGTGTAACATCATTGCCAGCGTATTCCGCCGGTCCATCATGTATCAACCCTAGAATCGTCAGAGGGAGGGCTTCGAGAGTCTCTCTGCTGGGTGCTCCCTCATTCGCTGTGGTTGCATGTTGCCGTTGCTATCGTTATTGTTTCTGCTGTCGACGCCTGTCGTGCCTTTGTCATTCTCTCAACATTCCCGACGTTGCGTGGACCACGGGTATTGTGGGAGGACATGGTCGAGGGTGGCGTTCGGGGGGGGGGGTTACATGACATCACGTACCACACAGCTTTTTTCTTACCAAATAATCTCGAAACCTCGCAGGACTCGACAATTTTCCCCCCTGGCGCGGCGCTAGCAGCGGCCCGCCTCGCCGGTGCCCGGATATCCCTGTTTGCGCTCTGCCTTAGACCCATCTTGGCCATGTTTGTCTCGGCAGTCAGGTTGCTGTCCCACCGTTCCTGGGGGGGAAAAGTGTCAGCAAGAAGCACCCGCGGTTTTCCTATTGGTCGAATTCGTTGCCATCGGGCTCTGATTGGCCGAAAATCGTTACAGCGCGGAGACGAAAATTGGTCTATTCGCCATCATTCGTCTTATCCGTGCGCGGAGCGTCAGCGTTGTCGAGGCAAAGCGCTCACACATGCGGCGGCAGAATGGCACATTTACTGAAAACTCATTGCTCACCCTCACGACCGCAGAGCTGATGTCTGGCTTCTTGTACCTGAACCTGTGGGAACAGGAAGGGACGTGCGGACGGCGGCGGCGGCGGCGGCGGGGGAGTACTCGTTCGATTGCTCGCCATGATCGCTTCACCGTTGACCGCACTTCTCCTTCGAGACAATTTACCGTCACCTTTCCTTAATTCCTCAAGAAGACACCACCGCCATTCGAGCGCTCTAGGGAGTCGTCCCGTGCTCCAAACCGTACGAAATCCTGGCTCCTTCTCATTCAACGAACCGTATCCCCTTTCCCTTTTGGGTGCTCTTCGGATACCCTTTTCGTCTCATCGTGGGGCGGTATTTCTTCTGAGTGGTGGGGCGGTAAGTGCCGAATTGTTGCTGTGTGTTTCGTTCCTCTACTCCTCCTTCGTACAAACAAAAATAAGCCCACAGACGCGGACTTATTCCTACAAAAGTCTACACACATAGGACAGATCAGATCGCTATAGATCGCCATAGATCATTTCGGTCGCAGATCACCAAAATGTATAGCTACAGATCGATCTGTACATGTTTTTGATTTCTCTATAGACGAAGATTGATCCGAACATACCTGCTGCTCTTGATCTATAATCCATAGATCATCGGTGATATTTCCGACTCTTGATCTATAGACGCAGATAGATCCGAACATATCTGCCGCTCTTGATCTATAATCCATAGATGATCGGTGATATTCCCGACTCTTTATCTGTAGACCACAGATCATCTGTGACAGTCAAGTGTTGATCCTAGATTCGGATATATATGTAGATCCGAACGTGTTTGTCGCGCTTGATCTATAATCCACAGATCATCCGTGATATTTCCGACTCTTGATCTACAACCCATAGATTATCTGTGATAATTCCGATTCTTGATCTATAGACACAGATTGATCCGAACATATCTGCCGCTCTTGATCTGTAATCCATAGATCATCGATGATACCTGCGTGCTCTTGATCTATACTCCACAGATCATCTATGATACCTCCAACGCTTGACCAATAGACCACAGATCATCTAGATCATGATCTATCCGAAGTGTGAAAGTCTAGGATTGCGCGTTGTGCACCAGGCGGAAGACTACCTGCCCCGTTCACCAACGAGACTTGAGTCTAGGCCGGTGCAAAGATGTGGCGGCTGCATAGCGAAAAGAAAGGCAGCCGACATGAGTGCAGCAGTTTCAATATACTTCGGGTGTACACCGTTCGCTAGGTTCCCTCCCAGAGAGATGATGCCTCGGAGATGGATTGATTGCGACGTTAGATGGCAGGGGCGAGAGAACAACTTTCGGCAGCGTGTTTCTCCTGCCTCTACAGGCCTTGCCTTGTCGGAAGGAGCTCGGAACGAAAAGATGAGCACAGCACACCATACCCAACCACCCCCACGCGAGGCCGCAACAGGATAGGGACGTTAAGGGGTGCCCTCCACCGCCAACCTTCTCTCGAGGGGGGGTTGGTTCAACACCGAAGCTGTAGTTGTGACAAAAACCTCACGTAGGTACGACTGCGTTGTACGCATGCCCACGCGCCTCTTTCCCTGGTGTACTCATGGAGAGACCTACTCTGTAGCCGTGTACAAGTATGCCCGTTGCTTCTAACCCGATGACCAACGTGAGCAAGCACGGGCGTGATATACACGCGATGTACTGTTCGAATGCGTGCGCGAACACGATCGAGATGTCGGTGCGCAGAAGAAAAATAGGGTGCCGCAAGCAATGCATTGGAAAAACAACGGATGGCGCCTGGGGACTAACGCCACATGGACACAGCAGCTCCTGCTGCTGTGGACTTATCCACCACCGCTCGCTGTGTGCTGTGGCGTTGTGGTCTTGAAACGGCGACGACGGTATCAGATATGGCCGCACGGGGAGCAACGGTCGCTGAGCTGTGACATAGTCTGCACGTATCCGACGATTACGACAAGAATACATTCAGAGTATCGAAAATGTCGATTCCGAATATCAGGTGGTGCTGGAAGCCTTGACGCTTCTGGCTCAGTGATGCGCGCGGGAGACTGGACACAAGGAGGCGTTGTGAAGATCTCTACTCGAGGTTTCGTACATGGTAAGATTTAAGATTTCAGTACAGCTGTTTACGTGTTGGTCGCATGCCGAAGGCAGAGGGTACAGACGTACAGACAGCAGAGGGTTGTTGTGGCAGCAGAGGGTTGTTGTGGACGTTGACACCGTTGTTGTCTTCTTTGCTCTCTGGCAGACTACAGAGCATGCGGAGGGTACAGATATTGCTGGGGCAAACCTTACGAACCCTGCGGTAAGCACGACCGGTACTCCCCCTTCTACTCGACGAACAAAATCAGCGCCTTCACGGACACGCGTGGTGTATGCATGCACAAACACACAAAACACCATACGCCGCACGCCGCACCACAGCGCCGCACCGCCGCACCGCCGCACCGCCGCACATTGAAAATTGAAAATTGATTGCGCCGCATTTTTTGAACCTACAGCAAATGCCTTTCCCTTTTGGCCGAGTGAGCTCTGCAACGATAATTGATGAGCGAGAAGCACGGAGCACGAGAAACGTCTCATGGGCACCTAGCAAAAGTCGAGTACAGTTGTCCAGATCACAACAGCAGCAGCCAGCTCTACAGCAGTGTATTCTGTGTGGTTGCTCACGTGTTTTTGAGATTTTTGGAGACCTTCCTCGTCCCGCTCCTTCGCTTTTTCGCAGCATTCTTCGCCATTGTTCCCCCTGCCCTCCTTCCTTCTCTCTGGTTTGCTGCTGTTGTGTTCCTGAGTCACAGCAAACAGCGAACAGCAGACACTGCTAGCCTAGCACTACCACCAGTAGCACATGCCGGTGCGGTCCAACCAAACGGGGGGCCCCGTACATCAACACGCTGGCTCAAGGGGCTCCGTACAGCAGTGTGTGAACCGGTTGTCCTTGCCTGTTGCTTGTTTTGACCACCCACGCCTTCAGATTCCGGAGAGATACTCGGCCACGAGCGCAGAGACGGCGGGGTATTCAACGCTGCCGCTGGTTTAGGGTTGCTCAATTACGACCAACAGCTCCCAGCTTGCAGGGAAAAAGCGCCTATTTTTTTTATTGACGGTTCTGGTTCTATCGGAGAAGCAAAGAGACGGTCCACGTTACCAGAGCACCAGCACCAGAGCCAAGGTTCAGTCCAGCAGCGCCCATCAGGAACATGGCGGGCTTCCTCGTGGTGATGAGCATAAATGTGCTGCTCTTGGTGCTGGCCATTTTCCTCATGTTTTTCGCGGACCCAGAGAGGTGAGAGAGGCGTAGCGCACGGCCAATGCGTGCAGCAGGCACGACGAAGATGATGTGTGTGTGGTATTGTACGTCGTAGCCTACACGGCTACACGGTCAAATATCTGTCCGGTGAGCTTTGCGATCTTTGTGCCGAAGATGATGTTCTCGGGGGGAGAGAGAGCTGCTGCTTGTTGCCGTTATACACAGTACCATCTCAGCCTCCTGCGCCAGTGCCTGCGCCACTACATGTGCAATACGGTATGTATCGGAGACGGGAAGCGTTCGGCCACACCTCCAGCACCGTTGTCCTTAGCATGCTGCTGTACTTGACCCTTCTGTGACTACAGGCCGATTCAGCTCCGTTCTCAGCTCCGATCACTTTGCGTGCCGAAAGATCGCCGTTGTGCCTCGGCTAAGAGCATAAAACATACATAGAGACCAGCAGGGAGACACAGGCAGCCCACCCCAAAAGCACGCTTATCAGCAATGCGCACAGGACTCACATAGTACAACACTATTCACCCATGCCTAATCTCTCTGACGTGGGGCAGATATCCTTTCCAGATCCAATCTACTGCCTACCGGCTGTCCAAGATTCTAAACGCAAAATACCACCACTGGAGGGTACATACAGCAGCCTGAACATGTGATCAACCCGGTGACGCATCCGCGTGGGAGAGCAGAGAAAGCGCACACCGGAGCCGATGCTAACGTACTGCCTCGGTGCTTGATGTTGTTGTGATTGCGGTGCGTGTGGTTCCCAATATTGGGAGTGAAGGGTGGTTCGTCTGCTGTGTGCAAAATTTCGCTCAAAGGCAAGGGTTTTCGGGACTACAGCTCCGATCACAGCTCCGATCACAGCTCTCTATTTGTAGTACAGAATAGTTAAATTTATCACGATTTTTATGCATTTTGTGCGATAGTGGATGATGGTCTCGATTCTCTGATGAACGGGCCGTTTTTTGTCGATCTGGCGCTTCTGTGAGGCGGTTTCCCGTCAGCGTCTTCGCATCTAGCGCCGCTTGCATTTGCGCTTGCCGTATGCTCTGTCCAAGGATGAGGAGGAGAAGATGTGCCAACAGGTATTGCTTGCACAGCTACATCCTCTGTGCGGATGGTTGCTGTCGGAGACAGGCATGCACACCTGCTCAGAAACTACTGCTGCTGTACAGCAGTCTATTTCTCTCCGCATAGCTGCTACTGCTGTACAGCAGTAGTACTATAATACTGTACTCCTGTTCGTCACCCTTACATATACCGCGTCCCCATCCCTGTGAGCCCCACACATGGACCCACTGCTGCACCATCCTTGCCGCCGTGATTTACGGGTGTACACGCATGCTTGGAAGATCTTTGACCGCAGAGAGCCAGTTGTGGGGAAAAAAACAAAAAAATCAAATTAACCCAGTCACGTAAGGGTTAAATGGCGCCACCTTTACATGCATGCCTCCGCGGATGGGCTACAAGACTGTTTTCACATGCAAGCGTTGAACTTCACCAACGACAAACTCATCGGGCACGAGTCGGCTTCGATCCAACCCTCTCGTAATGTTTTACGAGCAGTAGTCAGGCTGAACCGTGGTGCGGGCTCTTCTCGCTTCTCGGTGCCTTTCTGAAAAATGGGAATCGTACAAGCTGCCGTCACATCGCAGCGTCCGCGCGTTGACAAAAAAAAACCTCCAAACGGGCCTTCGACGTATTGTTAGCTCCAAAGCGGTGTCATCAATCTACCGGCCTACATAACCACACGTGAAACTCCCCCCCCCTTGCACACCACACACCCTCACCAAAAAAATTAAAAAA